TTTGAAAATTGTGTATTCTGTCAGTGGAAAAATTTCGCAGAAATGAGAATTGAGCGAAGAGTATAGATAAAAATATACACATATCCACCTATGTCCTACTTCATTCATATCTCGTTTCTCACAATAGAAATCGATTTGCCATAAATGACAGGGATCGTTGCGAATGGCGATAACGCTATACGCTAGGAAGATGGCTATATAGGAAAATTCGTATACGTGTGCGCATAGGGGATAACGCGGATTAGGATACGTAAGTAGATCAAACGAGGAATATCTTTAGAGAATACAGTCCAGTTTCTGGGGTGCCGTGTTACTTCCTTGGTCCACGTCCAGCTACGATGGTGCTCCAACTATTTTCTGAATACGTAACTCTTATCCGCGGAGCGGCAAGCGGCCAAATATTCATGCGACCTCATATCGTGAAATGCAAACGGATGATTCGTCTCTTGCGATACGTAAACTGGATTATGCGCCACTGAGCCGGGATAGAATTCTAGCAAGGGAAGTGTAGCGGGTAAAGTAGAAAAGAAGGAAACCTATACGAGCCGCGTCTAGTGCAGACTCGAAGAATGAAAAATCAAAAGAAGAGAGTTAAGATTCTGAAACATTGAATGTCTGCGCAAGTTTGTTGTCTACGCACGGCAGTTATGCCTTTCGAGAGCATCTCGCTTCAAAGTGAATTTAAAATAGATAATTCTTCGTACTCTTTGCATGTATGTTCGTTATGTTTTGTCTTTATGATATACGTATATCGTGGAAATTTTATATAATGAGAAAGAAAAGATGGTATTTTTCACAATAAAGATACTAACACAAAATTTTTTCTTTGTTCACATTAGTATATATTTTGATGAGAAAGAGATTTGAATGAGAAAGAAAAGATGGTATTTTTCACAATAAAGATACTAACACAAAATTTTTTCTTTGTTCACATTAGTGTATATTTTGAATAACATATCAAATTTTCTGTACGTTTGCATATATATGCACGCAATTATTTATCGACGAATTCTGTGATTATAATAAAACAGTAACAATTATAATTTGCATAAACATATTTCAAAAAACTAATTCTTTAAAACTGAGATACAATTCATTAAATAAATGAATTTTGCAATATTTATTATACTGATAGCTTGGCAAAAGCTTGTCCAGAAAAGGCAATTTTCACACATTTGTCAAATGAACACTTGCGTTTCCGTGCCAAATTTTTATTAAAAATGTAATATAATTTTGAAGCAGAAAATTAATTAATTTACACTGCAGCAAATTTGTGTACAGTAGCTTCGAAATATTGGCACGCTGCAATATTTCTTATTAACGATTAATATAATTTATTATTTTCATAAAACATATAAAACAAAACAACGAAACAATTCGTAACATATTTGCCTTTGTATGTGTGTGTGTGTGTAAATGTTCTTTAACTATGTTATATTTTAATTCTTGTTAAATCGTTTTAATCTATACTCAAGAATATTTATCGTTTTTTAAACGATGTTATTTATTTCTATCTTTCAATTCTTGTTTCTAATTTCTTAAGGTCGCCAAAAATTGGCAAAACTTTCGTGTCAAGATTTAACCGTAATTTAAACGATAAACCATCTAAACGCAATGAGAGAGTGGGAAAAGTGTTGTCCTAAAAAAGGACGCCTTCGTCGACGTGCTTGGAGTTGTTTACTCATCCCCATGATGTGTTTGCGCATTCTCAATAGAACATCGTTGTTTTGCCAATAGAACGTACAATCGTGTGCTCCCAAAAAATTCTACCGTTCACAAACAAACTCCCATGTTGTCAATGGACGCAGCTAAAGAAAACTTTGGGATTTTTTTGGACCGTTTAAAAGTTCTTTCTTCAATAAAAATTTTTTACTAGCAAAACGTAATTAAAGCCTAAATAAATTACAGCATTTACGATTAAATTGACTTTGTATGAAATACACAAGAAACGTTAATTCATCTGCTACGCGCACACGCATAGCTACCTTTTAGCAATTATATATATTAATTAAAACTTCATTTGAGTTGATTTCACGTGCTCAACTCGTGGTTGAATACGTAGAAATATACATGTCGCTACGAAAAAGTTTTCCTCTCATTTGTCCAGTTGATATGTCCGGTTATTTTTTTGTTTGCGGAAAGTTACGAATGATAGCATCCGCTTAGTATTATGCTGGTACGAAGTTTTCCGACTACAGGCACGTAGTTGACTCGCTGAACAATATTTTCGTGCTCGGACAAGCCGATAAAAAGTACCGGGATACTTCTCGTAATTAACTACTATGCGATGCCGCAAAAAAAAACAAGATAAAAGAAAACCACGATTAACGACAGATAGTTGTATCGTACGTTCGCGCCTCTGAACGCAAAAAAAAAGGAGAAAGACGAGAACAGGCGAAATGTTTTTTTTTTAAATTTAGGAGAACCACGCACGCGATGTGCCGCGAAGAAGGTAGAGACGTTCACTTTAGGGAGATGGCGAGAAATAAACTTGGCCGGAACGGATTAATTTTCTGCCGCTTTCCTGTCGGAAGCTGTTTCGTTATTGATCCCGCTGCCGGCCAAAAGTTCAATTCGTATAGGAGGCTGTCGCTGTTGGTATTGTGTGTTGTACGGGGTCATGGTTGCGCAACAAATTGCGACAGGAAACACCTGGCTACTCGAGCAAGATCGAATATGAATCGCTCGGTTCTAATTTCGGCGACAATATTTGTGATCTTCAAATTACCCCCGGGATAATAAACCAATCGCTTCTGATCTCTCTCCCTCTTATAACAACGAGTTATCTCCTCGTCCTCGAATGACCGGCACCCTATCTATCGCGAACGACAGACGCGCGAAAAATACACACGCGCGCGCGCTAAAATTTATATTAAAATTCATAGGACACACGCGTGTGTGTTCCCCGTTCGCGATTACGCCATCGCGTGGATACGCATATTACGCCCGTTCCTATATACATCGCTGGCGAAAATTGCGGATGCTGTACTATGCGACCCTCGGGATTTTACGTGTTTCGTAGCCAACGATCAATCGCCTGGCTCTCTCCCTCCTCGTTTCCCGTTTCTATAAACACAGGAGTCGACGCGGGTTACGAAATATTAATTCCCGAGTACCCAGCCGCGGCGCAGCATATGATTAAACCGCCTCGGTAAAAAAGATATCCGCGTACGGAGTTTCCTAGTCATTCAATGTTTTCCGTAGATGCATAAAACGTGGAATTTCAAGGGAGTTTCAAGTGGGGATTCAGCGCATTCTGAGAAAAACATGTATATAAAAACTATATTTAACAATTATTTCCAAGAAATTGATATAAAATACTTCTCGCATAATATTTTTGCTCATTGATAAATTTTTGAAAGTAGGTACATTCAAAATAATTATTTAAAATTATAATATAAAAATATTTATTATCATTTAAATCTATTTGAAATTTATTTATTCTCTCATTTAGGGAAGAATTAATATAAATCATGTAAATCATATAAATAATACAAATAATAAAATAAAACGAACAAACTATGCAGGATTAGATTAACTCGAATATTGCGAATAGTATAGTATATATAACAATACTATTAAACGAGGTCATCTCGAATCTGCCGAGGAAGTTAAGTAAGCATTTCAAAAGAAAAAGTATATCTATCGGTAATTCGATAAGCTGTTCAATGTTCTTGCCCATTATTTCTTTTTTTTTAATATCCAACGACTCTTATGAAATTTCAATCCGTTTCAGTAATAAGTAGAGTAAACGGTCAGACGTGACGTCATTCACTTCGAGCGCTATTAAGTCAGAAGCAATGAAATTGTCCAAGATCTCGTCATAGAACGAAGCGAAGCATCGTCTCCTGAGTGGCCAACAGATTCGCATTTAAATTAGAGCGGACATTACACACTAATGTGAGGACTTTATTCCAAAAACTGATGCCATATTATTTTACTCTTTTTGTACTTTTAATTTCTCTTTTGTAAATCGCGCTTCGATCAATTATTTTACTTTAGCAGAGAAAGTTTATTCGATCATGAAAAATTCCTTTTATTTTATTCATTTGCGATCAAATTTTTGTACGATTGCTGCAAAATTTCAACGAAACTCTACGATCTCATTTTCTTTATTATAATAAAGAAAAAGCGATTAAAACGAACGAGAAATTAAATTGAGAATGACTTACCTTAAAGTATTGAATATTGATGCGCGTGAGAGATGTAGAAAAAATTAATTTGCAAATTATTAAAATGGAATTTAAAAAAAGGTTAAATCTAATTAAGAATTAAATTATCTCGACGTCCCAGCATTATTCATCTAGCTAACACAGCGAGTTAATTGACGCAGTATTTGATTCGACTAATTATTCGTCTGTGCTCCCCAATGTCTTTCCTCGTCTCTGTCTTTCTTCCTAGCTTACTAATTACGTACAAATATTCTGCTGTGCCAGCGCTCCTTTCGCATGAGCTTATATATGTATTCGTATACATGTACAGTGCTTGCACGGAAAGGAAATCGCACAAGGAAAGCAAACATCATCTGTGCACTTTGTAATTACGGCGCGGATACTGCTTGCGGATACTGCTTGCTGATACTGATTGTATGCCGTTTGTTTATCATGCTATTACTGCGATTGTGCGTGAAAAATATGACGATACAATTTATATAATTTCTATTAACGTTACCTTTTTTGTTAACAAAATTCTCTCATTAAATATATTTTTAATTCAAAATTATTATCCTCCTTTTTTCCGGGATAATAAAGAAAGTATCAAGAAAAAGTGTACATTGTCGCATTAGAGAATTTAACGTGGTTAAAGAAGGAAAATCGTAATGTGTTTCCGTTGTCAGAGACATAGTCACGTAACATCGTTATTTCATTACGGTTCTAATCTGCCAGAACATCTCATTACGTCTACAGGAACGCAGCGGGAGGCGCGCGCACTAAAGCGCGGACGAAATGGGTATACATGTATGCACGACGTATAATTAATTAATTGCATCTAAAACTTACCGATGGTGGTGAGCACTGTCAGGGAATAGAGGAACGCCTTTGCAAAGTTCCATTCGTACTCCGGCACACGGCGTTCCGTTACGGTCTCGCTGGTAGAACTCCCGGTATAAGTCCCGGCATTCTGAGTCGCCATCATGTCCTCCGTGATCCTTTTCACCAGTTGGTCCTGAAACCGCGCGATCTCCTGATCAGCCAGCCTCGTCCAGTTCTCACGATAGAGAATGTTCAAATGCTCCGTGATTTGCCATATGCTCTCTACGGTCTTTGCTCGGGCCTCGTGATTAAGCTGGAACACACGGAGAGTTATTAATTAGGCGACGTTCGAAATATTGTTAGGTAAACTGTCACTCTGTGGAGAGTTTGTATGCCATTGAGATTGCAATTGACATATGTCGCACTAGCTCGTTAATTACATATGTTAAATGGTCACGAATGCAATGTCATGTTTCGCGGCTTATCTTGTGTAATGATTGAACGAAACTTGCGATTATTATCTTTATTATTTTATGTGCAATTTCATTGAATCGCAATGAAAAGAAATTTAAAAGTCTCGCCCGAGAGAGGAGAAATCAATAAAATACAATCTAGAATTATCTTTTCACAACGATTAAAATTACTATGATGATTAAGATTAAATTATTTGACGGAGAGGACGCGAATATTCATTCGTTTGTCAATGGCTATCGAGACAATCATCCGTTGTTCGCTATTATTGGCCGGAAGTAACGGACGGCATCCTTTGTGCCGATGTCTTTGGGGAGCACGCTTTTCCTTCAAAGTGTAAGGATAGAGGAAAGGAAGTGCGATCGATAAAACTTCGTTGAAACGAGCGCTCGCGCCAGAACGCACCGATAATTCGATTGACTTCGGGTTCACTGAGGTCACCTCAGGTAGAAAAGCGGAATGAAACCGGAGACGTGACGATAAATCGAGAGGTGCCTCCGGACTGTTTGCTGCTCCTCGAGGGAAAGAGAAGCAAAAACAAGTTCGCGGCTTATGTCTTTCAATAGCAGCAGCAACAATCGTGAACGCGCTTAAAATAGCGTATCGACAAATCTTGTTTATTCTCTTTCTATTTTATTCTTACTCCGATCGCACTTGTTGGCGCATACACTACACAGTTATTAAGAAATGTTTCTACAACTGTTTGAGAATTCCCTCGAGAATAATTATTTAGTTATGTATTTTCATATTATAGCCACGCGGTTTTGATAACCTAATAATTTATGATTTGATTTTACCATTCCGATAATAAATGTGTATACATATAACGTGGAACAGTGGAATGTCTCTTCTCGTTAATCAATTATATTCGCGTCGATCTTTTTTAATTAATTTTTCCCTGTTTAGGATCGCAAAAGGGACTTAAACATATATATATATATATATATATAGTAATTATATAAAAAATATATACATATATTGTTTTATAAATATTATTGCACTTTTAATATAAGCAGAAAAATATTAAAACATTTTTATTAATTTTTTCTTCCAATATTGCAAAAAAAAATTTTAAATGCATGCATTACATTACACATAAAATTACAATATATGTATACAAATTAGAGATGCAATGCATACAAATATATTAATTAATTATTTACGAAAATTCAATAAATCTTTAATAAAAAATGCAAACAAAAAAAATTTCTACAAGAGAATCTTTCAATCAAAATATCTGCACTTTCATTAGACACGCATATCTCCATATGTCCACTACGCTGCGCATCTCGCGCGAGACTAATCGCCGAATTGGCGTCACAAATCGCCACTACTGACCGCAAGACCGTGCGGTGCCGCCATCTGACGGCGAAACCTAACTTCACAATCAAGAATGAACCAAGCCCGGCAAAACGCATCCAATGTCTTTCTCTCTCTATCCTTTTCCATTAGATTCGTGTGTCCGCTACGCTGCACGTCTTGAGTGAGACTGATCCCCGCGGTACTCTGCGCAAGTGTCGCCAACTAACTAACTTTACAGCGAAGAGTGAAGCCAAGAGTGACGCCAAGAGTCGACAGCGATTAGTCTCGCGCGAAGTGCGCAGCGTAGTGGACGTATAGAGATGAGTGCGTCTAATAAAAGCGCAGGTATTTTAATTGAAAAATTCTTGTAGAAAAAACTATATTTCTTGGTTCGTATTTTCTGTTAAAGATTTAAATTGAATTTTTATGTATAATTAATTAATATAAGTTTGCATGCATTGCTATTTTTAATATTTTATTATCAAAGTATAATATAAACTTCTTTTTGCGTACGTAATTATACTCGATTAGATTAAACGAAAAATTATATGCATATATATAAATAAGAGAAATTTAAAGATATATTTTATTAAAGATTTCAGAGAAAGAAAATTGTATTAAAGATGTATTTTAATATTTTTCTGCTTATATTAAAAGTGTAACAATATTTATTACGAAAAAATCAATAAATAAATGTTGTCAAGCGAATTTAAATATAAATATAAAGCTATGTTACAAAGTTATTTAAAAAGATTTAAAGAGATTTTCTTTTCTTACTTGTTTCAGCCAAGCACTGGTGTTTCTCCTGGTATGCTGATTTCCGGCTATCGTTGTGGCGAGAGTTCTCTGTTGTAAGCCAACGTCGGCTCCGCCCTCGATAGCCAGGAAGATAAAGCTGCCCAGGAGGGTATAGGCCACCAGAAGGGCGCATATCCCGAGGTTTATCATAAAACCCTTCAAAAAAGAGTGCTGGCTGGCCTTGTCCGGCACACCGCCGAAACACAGACATCTCACTTGACGAGACTGATACGCCTTGGAGCGTTCCGAGGTCGATCTCTTCAGAGACGAGGTATTGCCATTGTTCGCCGGCTTGAAGCCCTCGTAAGCTCGGTAATGCCTATCCTTCTCCATCCTCTCCTCCTTTTTCTATCTACGAAGTCACCGGGACCTGCCACCGTCAACTTCGTCGTCGGATACGTCGATGCATGCACGCATTTGCCACCCTTCGCTTATTTTCGCAGTAAGTTAACAGTTTTTAAAAGACGAGAAATATTTTTAACGACCACGTTGACATATCACTCGCGTTTTACACTTTATTGTTGTTGAATGTTTTTTTTTTCGAAACTCGCAGCTTTCGTTCACTATACTCGTTTGCATACAACTACAATCACTCGTCGAAATATCTCGGATTATCGTTGTTGACGAGCGAGAGATGAAAGTTTGTGGGAAGATTTTTTTTTCCTTACGCGCGTCCTCGAATCCCGTAAACTCAATCGCCACGGATGCATGATTGAAATTTCGCGCCAGCAATAATCTTTAGAGGGACGGATTCCGCATTTCTTCGCTCGTCAATCGAATTCGTCGATGTCGTTCGACAAATGTCACTTTGATTTTCGTCACTGTCGTTTCCTTATTACGACGTGCGGTCGAAATCGCTCGACTGGATGATATCTTGGAAGGATTCTCTGCCGGCAAAGGGCTCGATCATACGTCGCCCGTACACTTCCGTCATTTTTCCGTGGCACGATCGTTCCGGCTGGAATGTGGATTGAAATTCTATTGAGAAAATCGATGCTCGAAATATGTCCTACGATATTAGTTACCTCTCAAAATTCTTTTCTTGCCGACAGTGATGGCTAACGTTATAAAAATATATTCCCTTGCGAAAGAGAAGAAATTAACAAACATTAAAATAATATTTTTTTAGGAGACTGATTCGCACATGAATTTCTGCGCACATAATCATATATTTTTTCTTAAATTTGTGGAATGGCATTTCCTTAAATTTTTTTTTATGGGAAACGTAAGAACCCTTTTCACTGCCCAGCGTGACAAGAATAATGATTCATTGTTCATGGCATTTATTCGCGTACGCGACATCAAGTTGCGCAGTATTAACGGCTCGAGTTATGTGACTTAATTTAAGTTCGAAAATGAATCGTGATACGAGCGTTACTTCGTGTAGCGACTATATTGCATTACCGCGTGACGCGTAGAAAACTGAAGAAAAATAACGCTTTCGAGAGAGGCCGTGGCTGTTAATCTTCTCTCTCTCCTTCGTTTTCTCCGCGCTCTCCTCTATATATTTCTCATTCTCATCGGGAAAACAGAAACTTAAAGAACAGCGCGGAGAGAATTTTCGAAAGAGTCTCTCCATGAGTCATTTAAACTTTCTCCCTACCATCTGAACGGGAAGCCACCCAGTTTTCAGCTTTCCCATCTTTTCTTCTGCTCGAGGCGCAAAAAAAAGAAGAACGAATGGCAGCGGAAGAAGGTGGAGTACGACGAGCGATAGAAACTTGAAAGCCTCATTCCAACAAACTGGATTTCCGTAATAAGTAAGCTCGATGTACATCCATGATGGTGGCGCTGAATGTTTTACCGCTCTTCCCTTATTCTATCCCCTCGTCTTCGATGAATTTCCCGCGTCCTTTTTAATGCACCATCGGGACGACGGTTCTTTATAAAGACTCGGACTTTCCGCACGTCGCGAAAGCCGATTAGCTCGAGCGAAGTCGAACCAATAATTTATTTGCGTCTCTCCGCATGTGGAGCGCCTGCGTTTGCTGCATGTAAATAAATCGCGCGTTGTCTTCCGGGTCTCTCTCTCTCTCTCTCTTGAAGCTCAGGAACGTCGCCACTTTCATACTTCACTGGGCTCTGAAAGGAGAAAAAGAGATTCGATTAGTTACACTATAGTTTCCTCGAAACAACGTTAAGAGATTAAGAGAGACTTGGTCATTAACCCCGAGCTTTTCTTAATAGCGATTCTCGATAACTATTTATCGCTTGTCGCAGAAACAATTCAACGCGTTATCCAAGTGCGCGTCACAATACGGGGGACATTCATGCCTTCGTGATATCGTCGGAGAATTCAATGCACTCAGACGAATTTTATTTCCAGTCCCGGAATTTGTGAGAATCCGGGCATCGACGTTGCTCGTCCGTGACTGCTTCGACGTCCTAAGAAAGACGGTTGAATTCCAGAAGGACTTTCGACGTAGAATTATTCGAGGGCCCTGGGGGAAATCGCAGGAAACTTCCGTGCTACGTGTTTTCCTGTGTACTTGCACTTGGTCACCTGAAGCTTTCCATCGGGGACAATAATCGACGGTCATGGTAGACTCGACCATTATGGGAAGTACAGAAAAAGAAAGATGGAGAGAGAGACGAGCGATAGACGGCTACGAGGGATAGTCTGCGGATCGAGAGCACGACGATGGATTTTGTGCGAAAAATATTGCTTTCTTCGTACGTTCGACATCCATAAATGCATAGCGAGATCAACCGATCCGCGACACTATCTTCTTTATTCTTCGGCGTGATTTAAGACTCGGATTTGGAGGAGAGATACGGGCGAACTTGAAACTTTCATGAAAAATTATTTGCATAATGTACGATCTGATCGATGAATGATCTGTACCTTCCTTTTCCCTCGATGAAATGTGGCGCGATATTTTCAATATTACAAGACGCGCGAAATAAGCTTGCATAAGTACGTTTCCACAATTTCGTTGCTACAACAAACAATGCTTTCTCCATAATTAGACAGAATCCCCGGAGAGAACAATTATATATTCTAGAATTAATTTTAACGTAAGAACTATAACAATGGTGTCAATAGTCATAGCGGGCTCAGTAATAGGGAGAGGAAGTTGAATCCGTTGCTTGCTTGCATAATAGCGAAACATCTCTCAGAATTCACCCGGTCATTCACATTCATAGCCGTCTAAATATGCGCAACGAACACGGTCTTGCATAGCGAAACTATTTCCCGACAATCGCATTCGCGGGAACACGCTTGAGGTAAACACGTCGGATACTAATTCGACGCTAATTTATCGTTTGATGTGATCGATCGTCGCGCTCGATCGACTTTCCTATCCCTGCCTGGCGAAGGAACGATCTCACCGCGAAACAAACTGTCAAGCCAAGCCGATCGTAAATCCGGTTTGAACTCTCCTCCTTTCTTCGCATCTCGATTTGCAATCCTTCCTCTTTTTTTTTACGACTTTCCTTCACGACTTACGTTTTTGATGTGCGTGCCTAGCATTCTCGCAAAACAATTAATATTCCGCTCTCGTATATATTGCCTGCATTTTGCCATTTATTGCTAACAATCCGTGCATCCCCTTTAAGCTCTTAGAGAGATCGTTTGAGAGACCGTTAGACCGCGTGATCGCTAGAGTGTGACAAACACTTCTGAGCTAAGGATGATAAAAGCATGCCTTGAGAAAATTAACCTCGATTTTTTTTTTTATGGTTTTATATGGTTAATCTATACCGCGATCGAATGTTTAAATAGAATAATCTTATAAAATATGTATAATAAAATATAAAATATGATGTGTGTAATTGAAATTGCATGCGCCTTGATATTGTAAAATCTAATGCTAAATAATGCAATGAGCAGAAACTAAATGCAATGGAAATATATTCAATGTACGCATTTCCATGTATTTAATATATATTCATCGCAATTTCCGCGCTTCGATTTTGCTGCATATAACTATATTATTTCTTTAAATCAGAATTTTGGTCAAATTTAAAATTGCACATCTCACGTTAAAACGTTACCGCGCAGAGATTGCGCTGCATATATATTAGCCAACTCATACGTATATTAGTATTTATAACTAATTCGCAGCGATGAAACTCGAGGGATAACGGGTGCAAAAGTCAATTACATCGACGTCGACGACGATCACGATGGGCTTTATGAGGGTGGCTCTCGATGCAAAAGCCTAGATGGACAGAAGGGAGATAAAGAGGGGGCAGAAGCCGAGCGGGAAAGGGCGCGATAGAGCGAAAAGTATGCAAGGGAACGAACGAAATGCGAAGGGAGGAGAGGAATGAAGGGGAAAACGAAATGCAATTTTTCCGTTCGGCGCTTTTTCCAGCGACAGGGGAACCACCTGTGCTCGTCTCAGCGACTTTTAAATTCGTACCATTGTCGGCTCTATTTGCTGAAAAATGTTTATTCAATTTCGTTTACCGTCACTGCAAGATATTTACCCGGTCGCTTTTGCTCGAACAGTTCTCGCACCACCGCGGACGATGGGAATTGGATGACGCGGGGATACGACAGGAAGGGCAGGAAGCCGTGAAAAGCTGGGTGAGCAAGTACACACGATATGTACGGGACCGCATTTTTACGGTTTTAGATTAAAGCTGCGTCATGTGGACATTAAAAGGTTTTAGCTCGCGAAAAAAAATTTACATATTTTTCAGGTCTGAGGCGACCTTAACCACATCGCTTTAATGCATTTAAAATAACGCGTTCAAAGTTTATTGCACGATAAAAATTTATGCGGACAAATTGCTGAAACTGTACAGAATAAGTAGAGTAAAACATTTGAGAGCTCTCCCCGAGCGACATATACGACTGCATTTAGAAAAGCTTGGATATAAATCTATAGAATAAATCGGCGATCTTAATCATTGCGACGAAAATAGGGTCGTACATGTGGACTGAATTACGATGAGTCGAGAATGAAGTTACGAGTATTCTCTGTCTCTCTCTTTCTCTCTCAACTCCACGTAGACTTTGTCCAGTTTTGTGTGTATCAGCAAACGAAATCGCTGTCGGCGATAGAAATTTATGGCAGAATCGAAACCTTCGAAAATTTCATTAAGCTATAGCGATATTGAGAATCGACGGTGAACCGATCGAAAATGGAAGTTACTATCGCAATACAATGCATTTGACGGACCATTCATAGAAAGTTTGTGGCTTATTGTATTTATCCTCGTTAACTTTATTTCCCGGCGCTCAAACTATGAGAAATCAAACTCGAATGTATGCTATTCGGATGTAATTAAATGACAATTTATTGCTTCAATTCTGAATTTACTTTTAAACATTTAACAGGAAATTGATGTAAATGACCTATATTACACGCTAGCCTGCCCACTTATAACGAACAAATACAAAATTATTGTTACTTAATTGCTCTCTTATATGATGATAAACTGTGCATTTTATAAGATTTTTTATTCTTTAAACAGTTTCATTAGGATTCTTCTACATATTTAAACGTATTCCTTTATCTAAACATGTCATACATTTTTTACTCGATAATCGTTTTATCTAACACATTTAAGATAATTCGGGTTAGTATGTCTCGACGACCAACAAACACAATAAGAAATCTTATTCTTACAAACTTTTCTCAACGTCCCACGTGAATTTCAGCCTTACACGCTTCCAACTTTTTCTTTAGGGTCGTCTGGGTTATCCGGTGCGGTCTTACCCGAGCAAAATTGAACACACTGTGTCTAGTAGTAGGCGACCGCAAGAAAACGTGGGAAGAAACTACTAAGGAACAAATAACGACGATACATTTGCGCACAGCTGGTCGGGCCAAACTTCACCGTCGCCACGCGTGTCTGAACACCAACGTCCGCGACTACTTACGCGCCGTCTCGGTGTATTTAACGTCACACGACGTCGCGCGAAACGAGATAACCGCGGCACATCTCCGAGTACTAACACAAAATTCTTCTTGTAGTAAAGTGTATATAAAGTGGCCCATGGGAAATTGCTGAATTAATCAGCTGTCATTTTTTAATGTATGCAGTTTTTAATGGATATGAATCAATGTTATTGTATAGGTTATTTTATTTTAAAAATGTAATGAAAAAAGTGCTAATAATCACATAAAATTAATTATTAAAAGGATCGTCAACAACAATTAAAAATGACACGATAAAAAATTTTCACGACAGTCTATACTCTTGATTTTCCAAATTTTCCTATCGGACGACTAACCGCGAAAACTTGCCGCGTCTTCAGCAAAGTTTCTTAGTTTAGACAGGTCGAGTTCGGAACACGAGTGAGCAACTTGTCGATAATCTCGACGCACTCGCGATTGCGATCTGACTCCCGCATGAACTATCCACGCCTTCGTGTTGCGTCAACGTTTCCTATCTTGCCGCATGAACGAGCTCTTTGAGGCGTCTCTGTCTTTGCTACCGACTAACGGGAGATTGGACAACTTTTCCTCAGTTTCGGATAACTATATCTGATAGTTTTTACAATCTGATTTTTATATGTACAAAGCACGACATAAATTGAATTATATAAAAAAAAATATATATATATATATTTTTTTTTATATAATTCAATTTATGTCGTGCATATAATTTCGCGATATAACATTTTTCCATCTTGATATAAGTTAGATAATATAATACTAAAATATAAAAATAAAGTTTATACATTACCAACACTTGAATAATTAATTTACAACTGATAGTATCAAATGACAGAAAAGCATGAGCGCTGTTATCGATCTCGTATAGGAACTTCTTATTGAAACTATCGAGACCGATAAGAGTCGTTGAACGTACTTACAATCGCAACTTTGTCGTATAATTTTTACTCAGCATCAGGTTATCAGTTACGAGACACTCGCCTCGTCGAATGTGACGAATAACAGTTTCGCTTGTACTAAAAACGAGTAATACCGATCCATCGCAGAGGAGCGTTAATATAAAGCGCACGATCTTGAAGCGTCCCACGTTATTAACTTATCGCAAAGTTCAGAAAGCGCGACTGTTCGACCCTCATTCCCGGACTATACCGTCGACGTAAGCGACGTAACGTCGAAGAGCAACGAAGTTCTTCCAATAAAGCTTTAAACGCGTCTCTCGCCGAG